GTCCCATAAATTTTGACATGCTTTATTTTCATTTTCATTCAGATCAATGATTTTTTTTTTATTTCCCTTGAGACTTCCTCTTTGGCCCATGGATTATTTAGAAGTATGTTGTTTAGTTTCCAAATGTTTAGAGATTTTCCTATTATCTTTCTGTTACTAATTTCTAATGTGATTCCGTTGTAAACAGAAATCATATTCTGTACAATTTTAACTCTTTTAAATTTGTTGAGGTTTATTTTATGGCCCCGGATATGGTCTACCTTGGTATATGTTCCATGGGCACTTGAAAAGAATGTGCATTCTATTGTTGTTCAGCAGAATCTAATTCTATAAATGTCAATTTGATCTTCCTGGTAAATGGTATTATTGAGTCCTTTTATAATCTTGCTGATTTTCTGTCTGTTGTTCTATCCTTTGTTGAGAGAGGGATGTTGAAGTCTCCAACTATAACTGTGGATTTGTCTATTTCTCCTTTCTGTCCTTTAATTCTTTTTGTTGTTGCTGTTGTTTGTTGCATACACATTTAGAATTTCTAGATCTTCTTGGTGGATTGGTATTTTAATCATTATAGAATGCTTTTTCTGTCTCTGGTAATTGTCTTTGCTCTGAAATCCACTTTATTTGATATTAATATGACCACTCCTGATCTCCATGGATTAATATTTGCTTGATATATCTTTTTCCATCCTGTTAGTGTCTCTTTTTTTAAGATTTATTTATTTATTTGAGAGAGAGAGAAAGAGAGTGCATGTGTGCAAATGGGGGAAGGGGCAGAAGGAGAAGGCAAGAGAGGATCTCAAGCAGACTCTCCACTGAGCACAGAGCCTGACACAGGGCCCAATCTCATGGCCCTGAGATCATGACCTGAGCCAAAATCAAGAGTCAGATGCTTAACCGACTAAGCCACCTAGGTGGCCATCCATCCTGTTACTTTCAACTTGCCTCTATTGTTCAACTCACAGCATATAGTTGGATCATGTTTTTTAATCCAATCTGCAATCTTTGTCTTTTAATTCGTACATTTAGAGCACTCATATTTAATGTGATTTTTGATGTGTTAGGGCTTAACCCTATCATTTTATTTTTTTGTTTTCTGTTTGTTGCCTCTGTTTTTCATTTGTTTTCTTTTTCCTATTTTTCTACGGTTTACTTGAACATTTTTAAGATTTCCATTTCTATTTATCTATAGTGATTTCAAGTCCATCTGTAATAGCTTTTTTGGGAGTTGCTCTAAGAATTACATTACATATGCGGGGCGCCTGGGTGGCTCAGTCATTGGGCTCTGCCTTTGGCTCAGGTCATGATCCCAGGGTCCTGGGGTCAAGCCCTGCATCGGGCTCCCTGCTTTGCGAGAGGCCGGCTTCTCCCTCTCCCACTCCCCTTGCTTGTGTTCCAGCTCTCACTGTCTCTCTCTCTGTCAAATAAATAAATAAAATATTAAAAAAAAAAAGAATTACATTACATAGGCATAACTTATCAAAGTCTATGGATGTCATCACTTTATCAATTCAAGTGAAGTATAGAAAACTTACTTACCTTCTTGTCGCTTTATCCTCTTCTGTTTGCAATATAATTGTCTTAACTATTCTACATACATTTATAATTATATCAGAGAGTGTTATAGTTTTTGCTTCTAACGTCAAACATAATTTAGAAAACTCAAGAGGAGAAGGGAAGCTTATTGTATTTACTCACACTGTTGCTCACTGTATTCTTTCTTTGCTCCATATTTTATTGTTTCCCTCCTGTTTAAAGGACTTCCTTTAGCTTTTTGCTATGGTCTGAATGTTTGTGTCCCCACCAAATTCATATACTGAAATCCTAATGCCCCTGTGATGGTATTAAGAGATGGAATCTTTGGAGATGATTAGGTCATGACAGTGGAGTCCTCGTGAAAGAGATTAATGCCCTTACAAAAGAGGTCCTAGAGAGCTATCTTGTCCCTTCCACCATGTGAGAACACAGCAAGAAATCTGCAATCTGCAACACAGAAGGAGGCTTTCAACAGAACCCCAACCATGCTGGCACCTAGATCTCAGACTTCCAGCCTCCAGAACTGTGAGAAATAAATTTCTGTTGTTTAGAAGCCACTGGTCTTTGGTATTTTGTTATAGCTGCCCGAACCATTGTTTTAGGATAGGTCTCTAGGAAACAAATTCTCCTAGTTTCCCTTCATCTGAAGATGTTTTAAATTCTGCTTCATTTCTAAAGGATACTTTCACTGGGTTGACAGTTTTTTTCTTTCAGTAACTTTGTGCCACTTTCTCCTGGTTTTCATAGTTTCTGGTGATAAATTCACTGTCATTCTCATTTTTTTTTTCCCTCCCTATAGGTAAGTTGTCATTTTTCTCTGGCTGCTTTCAAGGTTTTTCATTTTTAAAAGTTTATAATATATCTTGTGAAGTTCTATAGATTTATCTTGTATAAGACACTCTTAGCTTCTTGAATCTGTAGATTTATCTTTCTTGCCTAATTCGGGGAGTTTTTAACCATTATTATTTTTTTTAAGATTTTATTTATTTATTTGAGAGAGAGTGAGAGAGAGAGAGAGCATGAGAGAGGGGAGGGTCAGAGGGAGAAGCAGACTCCCCACCAAGCAGGAAGCCCGATGCGGGGCTCAATCCTGGGACTCCAGGATCATGACCTGAGCCGAAGGCAGATGCTTAATGACTGCTTCACTGACTAAGCCACCCAGGCACCCCAACCATTATTTCTTTAAGTACTTTTCCAGCCCCACTTCCTTCTCCTCTCCTGGGACTTAAGCGACACAAATGCTCTATCTTTTGTTCTAGTCCCATTAATCCCTAAGGCTTTCTTCATCTTTTTTTCAATTTATTTTTTCCTCAGTTTTTCTTATTGGGTGATTTCTATTATTCTGTCTCCCAGTTCCCAGATTTTTTTTCCCATTCTCCCCTCTATTCTGCTACTGTCTCCATCCATTGAACAGCCATTTTTATCGTGGCTGCTTTGAAATCTTGGTTGTGTAATTTTAATATCTCAGTCATCTCATGTTGGCATCTGCCTTTTTATTCACTGGGTTTGAGATCTTCCTGTTTCCTGGTGTGAAAAGATTTTTTGTTTGAGCTTGGAAATTTTCCGATTGTGTTCTAAGACTCTTGCTCTTATTTAAGCCTTCTTTTTCATCTATATTGGTCTGACACTGCTTCAGCCGGGGGAGAATAGTGCTACCTCATCACTGTCAGGTGGAAGTAGAAGAGCAGGCAATTTTTGATTAGTGGAATTCTCTTCATGTAACATCAAAATATGTGGACAAATTGATTTTTTTCCAAAACAAAATAAGGAGAAAAATCAAGTAATTCTGTTATCTCATCCCTAACACCTCCAAAAGCTTACTTATTAGGGTTAATTTGTCACATCATGTTGCCCCAATCAATCAGAATAATTAATTATTTATTTTACCAATGGCCCAATTTTTCTTCCTGTGATTTACTAGCAGTCTACAATGGCAAGAGAATTCTGTGGGTTACATAGAAATATATTCTTGATTAAAGGAGAAAATAGAAGAGTTTCATCTATTTTCAACTTTAAAAAAGTCCTTCAGGGGCGCCTGGGTGGCTCAGTCGTTAAGCGTCTGCCTTCGGCTCAGGTCATGATCCCAGGGTCCTGGGATCGAGCCCCGCATCGGGCTCCCTGCTCAGCGGGAAGCCTGCTTCTCCCTCTCACTCCCCCTGCTTGTGTTCCTGCTCTTGCTATCTCTCTCTCTGTCAAATAAATAAATAAAATCTTAAAAAAAAAAAGTCCCTCAGTACTAAAAATAGAAAATAACAGTCGTTTACTGGACATCTCCTCTATTTAAGGCATGGAGGACACAAAGACTAAAACAAAACAAAACAAAAAAATACAAACCATTAAGTAAGTAAAATGGAATCAAGTAATTGTGGTTCATTGCTATGGAGATATGAAAAAGGCATGAATAGGGGCACCTGGGTGGCTCAGTTGAATAAGCAACTGCCTTCAGCTCAGGTCCTGATCCCAGGGTCCTGGGATCAAGTCCTTCATCAGGCTCCCTGCCGAGCTTCTCCCTCTTCCACTACCCCTGCTTGTGCTCTCTCTCTCTCTCTCTCTCTGTTAAATAAATAAATAAAACCTTAAAAAAGAAAAAGAAAGAAAAAAGCATGAATAATTATGAATAGAGATTTAGTGAAGGGATTCACAGAAGTAGCATTAAGCTGAATTGGGAAGGATTTGTTCATTCAGTACTTACCACCTGCCTACTTTATACTAGGCTCCTGGTGGTGGCTGCAGAATGAATGGTATTTTGACAGAGATAAGGAAATGGAGTGGCATGGATGGAAGGGTAGGCACTCAAGCAACAGGGATAGCTCAAACACATAAAAATGTGGGGTGCCAAACAGAACTTATTAAAACAACTATAAGCAGTGCTGTTTGAAAACTCATTAAATTTGGAAACACTAAATTATACTAATAGTGTTATTAGCTAACTTTCATTCACTCTTTCTTGTTTTTTTTAAAGATTTTATTTATTTATTTGACAGAGAGAGACACAGTGAGAGAGGGAACACAAGCAGGGGGAGAGGGAGAGGGAAAAACAGACTCCCCGAGGAGCAGGGAGCCCGATGTGGGGCTCGATCTCAGGACCCTGGGATCATGACCTGAGCCGAAGGCAGATGCTCAACGACTGAGCCACCCAGGAGCTCCTAATTCACTCTTTCTATGTACCAGGTACCATAGCTAAGTGATTTCTATGAAGCATTTTATTTAATCCTCATATCAAGCATATTCAGTAGGTATTATCTGAACTTTAGAGATGAGGAGCCTCAGGCTTAGAAAAATAAGTAACATATCTATAATCATACAGTTAGAAAGTAAGGGAGCTAGTATTCACGCCAAAGTCTGAGTAAGTTGTCTCTGTCTTACCCACTACATTAGCATATAGCAGGCAATAAATTATGGAATTTAGCAAAGCATTTAAAAATGCTTACCTTGGGGTTTTCATGCACATGAACGTTGTTTTACAGATGTAGATGGCATGCACCTGGGCAAAAAAGTCAGCATCCCCAGAGACATCATGTTGGAAGAATTATCCCATCTCAGTAACCGTGGCGCCAGACTATTTAAGATGCGACAAAGAAGATCTGATAAATATACATTTGAAAATTTCCAGTATGAAACTAAAGCACAAATAAATGTAGGTATAACTTGGTTATGTGGTATCTAAATAAACAGGTAGTACTTCTAAGTGTCTATGTATCACTAGATTCCCAAACAAGTATTCTACATATTTATTCAACATAGGTTTTTCTGTTGATTCTGTTAGATTTTTTTTATGATAGTAAATAGCTTAGATGAATAAACAAAGGAGGTATTATATATGTTATGAGTATCTTTTTAGTTCTGTAGGGACATTGCAACCCCGTAAATCTGGCACTGAAAAGCTGGTGTGCTCTGCTAAGAGGAGGGAGAGTGAGTGGAGATTGGTGGAACTAAAAGTTTCCATGGTTTTATCTCTACTAGTTAAATGTTTGGGATGGAAACACTTCCAAAGCACACAGCACTCCACAAAGTAAGTGTATGCATTTTATTGGCTGAATACATCCTGGCACTGAAACATGCCTGAGAACTACAGACGTAGTTGAGCTTCTCTTACTCAAAGCATTTACGCCACATCGTGTAGGGAAGTCTGATTCCTATTAACAACAAAACCAAGGTGGGCAAAACTCTTTAGACAAAAGTTTTCCTCAGCTGAAAGTTAATAAACAAATGAATAAATTAATTACATCATATTTTACATATTGCATTAATACTATGTTCTTTTAAACTGTCATGTAGAGAGATTGTTGAAGAAGAAGTTCATAGTAGAAAACAGCTAGCTTTGGGGAATTGGCTTTAAAAATAAAATACCAGGCATGAAGAATCAAAATGGAATGAAACATTGGTTCTAAATTTGAAGAGGTGGTGGAGACTACAATAAATTTCAGTTTTATTTACTGAGGGTTTCTTCCTACAGGTATGGGAAGTCTATAAGTTTACTTGTGAATTTGAACCCAAACATTTGCCAGCTTCCATCACTAATAAGTTGTTTTGAATGGACATCTCACTTCTTTACAACAAACAGACTAGTTTCACTAAGCTCTTTTATCATAATTACTAAAATACTTTATAGAACCAACAACTACACCTACAAACACAAAAATGTTAGTCATTCAAAATGTCTGTTTCTCTGGTTAACAATAAATATGAGGGGACAATTTAAATGAAATAATTTCTTTTTCACATTAATCAGCTTCCTTCAACATCCATAGGTAAAGTTTAGTTATAACTATGAATTCAGTTAGACATTGTGAAGGATGATTTTTTGCTTGAAGTCATGGATAGATATAATGTTATGGTACTCTATAATTATGTCTAATATCTAGTTATTAAAAAATGTCTATAGCTAATACAGTGTGAGCCTAAAATAATCCCTATCCCAGCCGATGAAATCTGATTACATAATCATATTCTTTTAATAATGACAACAGCTTTAAGGAGTAGTATAAAATAAGGTGGCTTAAGGAAATTCTTTGAGAAGTCATCTACAAGTCTAGACATCTGAATAGATGAATAAATCCAGCTTTCATAACTTACACTTAACATCTCTAAGTCTATGCTTTAGCTACAGTTCTGGAGGAAGGGACAATGAGTTTTTAAATGTCCTTATGAACACGACATATTCCCTCATCACCAGTATCTCAGATTATTTTCACTAACCTGTGGCCAAATGTTCTGATTATACATAAAATGTAAGAATGCCTTGATAGTTTTTCAATATTCCTAGAAAGTTGAACACTAAATAAATAAAATAGTCAAAAACAGGCATATTGAAATAAATAAATGTTGATAAGTAACTTAGAGCAATAAACAATAATAATGTATGCAATGAACTAGTATGTCATTGAGCTACATAACATACTGTGAAGTCTGATGAAATCTATTCTCTCTTTAGAAATGAGGAAAGTAGTGTTCAAGGAAGTATATTATTTGTCTTAAGCAACACTATAATAAAGAAGATTGAAACCCAGCTCTCAGAATTCTAGAATTCTTGGTACTGACACTTATCATGGTGTAATCAAAGGAAACTGGGCTGGAAACCAGAAGACCAGGGTTCCGTTCCAGCTGTTCCACAAGCCACAATTTGGAGTCAATTTAAAAGTGTCTTTGCTTTCCTGGACCTGTTTTCTCATTTAGAAGATAAGAAAATGGACTCAAATGTTCTTTAAAGTGCCTTCTTTAATGATCTGTGTTTAATTCTAAAAATGACCTGTATAATAAATCATTGAGGAAAATAGTGAGCCACATTATATAATGATATATTTGCTTTATCAAGGCACTAAATTTCAACTTGGAGCAAGCCTTGTTAATATGATAGGAATTTTTAAAACAATATTAGGTTCAGATCTATTTCCACTCATTTATTTATACTTTTGGCAAATATTTATTGAATGCCTACTGTGTTCTAGATATGATGCTGGGAGCTCAAAGATAAATAAATATAGCTTTTGTGTAGTGAAGTGGAAACAAAATAACATTGAAAGATAGAAAACAACTCTTACTTACAGTCTACTTCTTGAATCATCTTTTATGATTTATATCACATTTTCCTAATTTATTGACTACATTTTCTGAAATGAACTTTTATTGCTTCCCACAAGTTATATTGTCAAAATAATTATTTAACTCTGTATACAAGTCTTATTTTATTATAATGTTTAGGACATCATTAGATGAAACTATAAACAAACTCCCTGGTAATTTAATGCCATTTGTCCAAATATTAAGTATCATTTTAAAAATTAAAAAATTAAGGGCAGTTTTGGTCTTATTCCACTGCTGAGAAACTGGCAAATTCAAGCCACACAAACCTTATGACATAAATAATAACAGGAAATGTACTTTCTTAACAAGAAATGAAGATACACAGCCTGCTATACAAGCCAATTTTGAAGCCCTAGTTCATGAATTGATCAAATTCTTTTTTTTTAATTTTTAATTTTTTTTTTTTTAAGTAGGCTCCATCCATGCCCAGTGTGGAGCTTAATGCAGGGCTTGACTCATGATCCTGAGAGAAAGACCTGGGCTGAGATCAAGAGTGGGACACTTAACTGACTGAGCCACACAGGTGTCCCTAACTGATGAAATTCTTACACTAATAGGCAAAAAATGAAATGGATGAAGAAAATGAGCATAAGGAAAAATAAAATAAAAGAATGATTCATGATAATTAAAATTATCTTCTATAAATCACTATAAAATGATACTGAGGAAAATAATCCACATTTTATAGTAAAGACTACATAAGTATTTAGTAACTATGGACTTTTTGAAATCCTTTGAAGTCTTAAATAATAGTGGGGAAAGGGGAAGTATATTATAAAAAGTAATTTCTGAAATAAGACTAAACTATATATACTGAGATTCTCAAAATATATTTATTTTGTGCAAAAAATAACTTCTATGTGTTTGGCACAAATTATAGAACAGGTTTTTAAACAAATCCTCTTATTTCTATTGATATTTCAACAGAAATCATGTAATAGACATTATCCACATGTTTATAACTTCTATGTTTATAACCTATAAGATGCTGCTTTAGTTTTATTTTGTTTAGGGTCAACTGAAATAAAAAGAAACACATTTTCATTTATCTTTTCACCTTTTCATGAAGGGAATCACATATGATGGAACTCTGTAATTTAAGGCTTATGTCATAACTAAAGTAAGTTGCTACCCAACTATTATTAGGCTTTGTTTGTATACTTAACAATGACAATAGAGATACTGGGTGTCTCCTGATAATTAGTGACTAGCTAGAAACAGTGGATTGTCCTGTTCACTAATCCCCAGGAAAATGTCTCCAAAGAAAGTCAGTATTATAATTCTTAAATTACCATAGATAGAATGATTTGTAAGTTTAGGTGAAATGCATTTCATGGACGCATTTCAGGAACTCAGAAAAAGAATTCTAAATGCATGATATTCCTATATTTATCTCAACTGGCTTTTTATTTATAATTAATGTTTTAAGAGGTGGTGTAGGTTCAGAGTGAGAAAAGATATTAATCTAGTCAAAGAAGTCTAATACTTAAGATAATAGTTATATTCCAAATGCTAAATACTAATGTTTCTGAGTACAGCATTACACCAGTCTTTAGAAATTGTTCCTTATTGCCTATGGAATAAAATGTAAACTCTTCTGCCCAGTAATCAAACCCTGCGCTCACCTAACAAACATTACCTCTCATGCCTTTTTGCACCTTTCCACAAGCCAGCTCACCATTGTTAACATGTGTCCTATTCATTTCCACAGCAGCTTTACCCATGGTGCTGCAGAGAATAAAGTGAATTTTGTAAAAAGCACCTAGAGAGTGGCTGTGGGTGGGTAAAGCCTGAAAATGAGGATAAACTTTATTTAAATATTAAATGCAAAATTATTTTTCACCATATCACTTTATAAATAAATGCAGAAGTGAAAAAGCATCTAAAAATATTTTCTGCTTATGTCACACAGAGAAAAGTCAAAACTGGTTTTTATTTGCTGTGCTCTTCACTAAATTTTTCTTTTTAAAGTTAAAAAAGATTGACTTTATGTACTTCTTAGATAGATTGGCTTCTTTCTAAAAAACACATATTTTGGGGCACCTGGATGGCTCAGTCGGTTAAGCATCTGCCTTCGGCTCAGGTCATGATCCCAGGGTCCTGGGATTGAGCCCCACATCAGGCTCCCTGCTCAGCGGGGAGCCTGCTTCTCCCTCTCCCTCTGCCTCTGCCGCCTCCCCGGCTTGTGCTCTCTCTCCCTCTTTCTCTGTGTCAAATAAATAAATAAAATCCTTAAAAAAATAAAGTAAAACACACAGATTTCTAGGATATAATTAAAACAATTCTTTATTAAAGAGATAAGGCCTAGCCATGCTTCTAAGGACATCACCTATTACAATGTGTTTTTTCTCTGTTAAAATGCCAATTTTTAAAAGTGCTATATTAATGTCATAGAATAAATCTTAAATTATAATAGTAAAACAAATTCACCTAAAACTTAAAAGACAAACATCTCTTTTAAGCATTTTATTTCCTAGAAATCCCAAATTCTTCCTTTTACAAATCTATGCAGCTTCATATATTAATATTTTTTAATATACAGCTGGTATTCAAATTTTAGATTAAATTTTAAAACAAGACAAATTAAAGAATATAATAAATATAAACACTATGAACAAAAACAGTAATGTAACAATGACTAAGCCAAATGTTTGGCCAGTATGCTCTATAATATTAGATTGGTAAAGACTTAAAAATTAAATAGATTCACCTTTATAGGGACTTTGTGAATAGTACATTAAATAATTGATACAAAGCCCTAGACACTGCCTGGCACATAGTAAGGTTCAATTAATTATTATTAACTGGAGTGTTATCATAAAACATATCTTAGGTTAAGATTAGTAAAAGTTCTCATTCAATAGCTGAACCAATTACATATAAATTATTGAGGCCCCAAGAAACAAGGAAGTGGCACTGTACTTAAATTTTAAATATACAAATGGAGTTTTGCACATATGGTATCTCCATTAGTGTGTCTAGAATTTTTGAGTCTTCAGCAGAATTTACTTTTGATCACAAACAGCACAACATTGCCATGCAGAATGGGAAACTGGATGGAAGCAACTTGGAAGGTGGCTCACAGCAAGCCCCATTCACCCCTCCCAACACTCCGGATCCACGAAGTCCCCCAAATCCAGAAAACATTGCACCAGGTAACTATTCCCTTAGAAACAAGAAATAAACAATAAGTAAAATAAGTAGAATGAAATTGCTGTGCCCTTAAATATATGACTCAGGTAATTTGGATGCTTTAGTAAATGGTATCTAAATGACACGGCTTTACTCATTATATATCTATTTTGTGGTTAAGTTCAAGATAAATATAAAGATTCAGATCTAAGGAGTCATGTAAAACATTTACTACGTTCTTTCAGATGGTTCATTGTATTTGTTGGCAATCACCTGTTACATTAAAAATTGAGTCACTTGTAATTACACTGAAATTCTGTTTGTATAGGACTACAATTTATGAAGTGCTATGATACATCTTGTCTTCTTTAATTTCAAAATAACTCTGATAGATTTATTATAATCCTCATTTTACAAATTAAGAAACTGAGGTCAAAAATGGCTATAAATTCTTATTGATTGATCAAGAATTCATTCCAGATACCAAATTTACAGATGCCTCATGAAAGTGACCTTGTGGAGATTACTATCATTATTCTCTGCTTCCTTAAAGGACTTAAAATGCAATTCTTCATGATTGCATATTTGTTTATTATCTTAAAAGAGAAACAGATCCTTATCTAGTCAGTATATGTTATTCAGAAATATTGTTAGATTTTGAAGTATTAAATCTGTCACAAGAATTATCTAGACAATACCTTTTCAAAATAACTGACAGTGTCTTCAAGTATTTCCTCGAGTAATGTACAAAGTAGATATTTTAAAGGTTCAAATACTTTTATCTTGAAATTAGCAATATCTATGTCATATTTTTGCAAAATAAAAAGTAAATTTAGCAAAAGCAATTCTAGAATTCTTCTCAAACAGCAACAGTTTTTGAAAATATGTAAGTAAAGCCATTGTATCATATTAAATCTTACCTAAAAATAAATAAACTGTCAGTCATTGAGGGGCTTAGATTTATTAGGACATTCTTATTGAACACAATGAGAAAAAGTATTGATAGACATAATAAAATATCGCTGAAGGAGACCAAGTACACACTTAGAATGCATGGAACTCTGAAGTGAAGCATCATAATAAAGTTCTCAAATAGCTTTCAAGTAGCATTTTTTGTGGCAGAAAAGCAGGTAATCAGACTGACCTGGGTTCAACCTTCTGGCTCCTTCCATCCCTGCCCATTTTACTACTTTGTTGGGAAAGAAAGTAACTCTTTTTGAGTCTCCATTGCTTTCATCAGTTAAATAAGGAAAACAAATCTCACTGCCTAGGGTTGTGAGAATTAAGTGTGATAGGTATAATCCCAAACATATAATAAAGTACAGTAGTCCTCCTTAACCACAGGGGATATACCCAAGACCCCAGTGGCTTCCTGAAACTGCAGGTAGTATCGAATTCTATATATACAACGTTTTTTTCCATACATACGTACTTACGATAAAGTCGAATTTATAAACTAGGAACAGTAAGAGATTAACAACAATAATAAAATAGAACAATTATAAAAATATTCTGTAATAAAACTTATGTGAATGTGGTCTCTCTCTCTCTCTCTCTTTCAAAATATCCTATTGTATGGTACTTACTTTCCTTCTTGTGATGATGCGAGATGATGAAATGCCAGCGTGGTGAGAGGAAGCGCGGCGAGCGACGTAGGCACTATGACGTAGCATTAAGCTACTATTGACTCTGACCATGCGTCAGAAGGAGGACCATCTCCTTCGGGACAGGCTTGGACTAGTATAACTGCCTTTAACTGAAACCACAGAAAGCGAAACCAAGGATAAAGGGATACTACTGTACTTAGCTAAAGTTAATTCTTTCCTTATCAACTTTATATCCAAAACAGAATAGAATACATACACATTCTTTTAGCTCCAACCACTATTTGGCAACTTCTTGCTTTCTAATATTTGGAGTGTTTTTTGTTTGTTTTTTTAAATAGTGAAGAGAAGACATAAAGAAAAGTTTGTGTTGGTTCAGTCTGATACTCTCAACACTATGTTAGAACTTTTATTATATGGTCAGCATTGTAAACTATGTCATTGCAAAAGGAATAAAAAAATTCATCTCTACCCTCAAGGAATTCATACACAAGGAGACAGTACAAAAGTTCATGTTACATTTGTTGTTTCGATTCCTCTCTGCATACATAATTTAATATCATATATTTTATTTACTTAATAAATATATATATACACATATGCATAAACATTTATGTATATATAAAGAGAATGTTTAAAAGTATAAACTCATACAGTTCTTTAAATATCCAATTATTAAATATTAGGAAATGTCTATGTAATATAGACTAAGAAAAGGGGGAGTTTGGAGGTTTTCAGGTAGTTTGTCCTGAAACAATACTAATAGATCCTTCCTTCTTGGTTGATAAGTTGAGAAGTATAGCAAATTGAGAAAGCAAACTTCAGCTTATCCTAATTTAGCAAAAATTTTTATTGGTTAACATGCTATGTATCCAAAAGCTAACTTTTTTCAAACATGGATCAGTAAGAGTATTATGATGCCATAATATTGCAGGAATTAAGTTCCTTTGAATTAAAATCAGTTATGTTAAGGACATTATTTTGAAATTAAACAAGAAATGTTATCATGTAGCATTGTTGAAATGTATTATATCTGAGAGTTTAAACATATGCACATTCTTTCCTATACATAATTCAGCATATCAGAAAAGAGTTATTAGTTAATTATGTCTATAAAAAGAAATTGGAAAACCAGGAATAGTAAAAAAAAGTGAAAAGATTAGACCCTTTATCATATTTTAATGTAGTAGGTTATTATGAAACTCTTATTAAAGTGATTATAAACATGACGTAGAAACATTGAAAAGTATTCCAAGCAAAGTTGGTTAGGAATAAAATATACTAGAATGTATACTAGAATTACAGTTATGTGATCATTATGTTTATGGGTGAGAAAAAAATACATCAAGGTAAAATAATTGTATTAGGGTAGTGGGATTTCAAGGAATTTTTAAAAATATAAAATTCTAAAATTTCCAGTTTCTAGATGGCTGACATCCGATCACTTTTAGGAAAGGAATGGGAAATAAAATGCTAGTTATGATAATGGAGTTATGTATACTATCCAAATGGAAAGAGCAAGAAAAGTAACTCTGCTTTCCTGGGGGAGACAGGAAAGCCTAAATAGAAGAGGTAACCTCAAGCTAAGGCTTAAAATAAGAATTTCCAGGTAACAAGAATTAGAATGAGCATTCCAGGCACAGGGAACTAATGGAGCAAGCATAAGGGGACGCAACAAGTGTCAAGTAGCTCCAAGTTCTGGAGCATAAAAATGTGAGAGGAGAATGGTAGGAGATGAGGCTGGATGAGGGTAGGGCCATGTGTGCTGTGCTGAGTAATCTAGGTTTTTGTCATGGGGAGCCATTATAGCACCCTAGGAAAGGGAGGTCAATGACATGATCCAGTTTAGAAAGGTCACTCAGGCAGCAGTGTGGAGGGTCCCGGGGAGAGATTGGTATGAGGCTATTGTGAAAGCCCAGGCAAGAGGTGGTCAAGCCTGAAATAAGGCAGTAGTAACGGAAATGATGAAGAAAGAGGGAATTTTCCAGAGCAAGTTTTCCCAATGTTCTGTTTGCAAATCTCTTGCCTAAGATTTGCAAGCCATATTTGAGACTTACTGAAGCCAAATCTCTGGAGGGAAGAACACATTTGGCCCAAAGTGACTCAGAAACAAAGTTTGAGAGCTGCTATTTTAGCATTCCTTAAGAAGTACAGCTGGTAATACTTAGTGATTTGCTGTGGGAAGGAGAGGAAGTTTAGGATAATGCTTCTGTCTTGGGCATCTGAGAGTAGTGTTGGCATTCACTAAGATAACCAATATAACAGAAGAAGCAAGTAGAGAATGGCTACATATAGGCCTAGACAGATTATCAGGGGTGCCAGGGGATATTCATTTGGACAAATATAATGGGTGGTGGAACAGAAGTGCCTGGAGATTAAAAAAAAGAAAGAGATTCATCAATATTTAGGTCACAATTAAAACCATGAATACAAATGGAATTTTTTAGGTAGAATGTATAGTATAAGAAAAGAGCTTTGAGTAACTAAGTGGCAAGCAGAAAAAAGAAGTCTATCAGAAGAGACTACCATGAGATACTGGAGGCAATCAAAAGAAAATTAAATTACTGCAAACAAATAACTGCCTAGAGGTGGCATTATCAGCAAGATATTTTGGAGGAGATAAACTCTTTAGTGTAAAGAAAGGATAGGCATGACTGGACAGGAGAAAATAGAAAACATTTTAGAGAAGAGAAAGAGCATCAGAAAAACCTAAAAGTAAGAGTGATCAAATGGTAAAGGGTTTTGACATCATGGAAAAGAGAATTATGCAAAGGACACAATGAGGTAGTACAATGGTGTAGATGGAGAGTACACAGCTGCTTTTGAATACTTGAAGAATGTCACTTGATGCATGTGAAAACAGTTTAAAGTTGATGCCAGAAATTTGTGTGATTTTTAAATGGCACTTACAAAAAATTTCCAGTTCCCAGAAGAAGTTGAGGAGGTGAGACTAGAAGCAGAAAAGTTAGGTAAGAAATCTTTAGGAACAAAGTAAACATGGGATGGGCACATCAGGGAATAAGACTGGGGCCTGATTAAGGCAATGGAAACAAGTTACTTCACCATTTTGAAGTTTTAATGGTTTGCAGATCACTCAGCAATTTAAGATAGACAAGACCTAAATATTACCTCTACCGAATCAGCCCCCAGAAGAGGGAGATTTTGTCTTCACTGCTCCTTCCCCAGCACCTAGACCACAGTAGACACTCAATATATATTTTTAACTTAATTCATTCACCATGGTATCTAAAGCCTACTATAAATTAACATAAGGGACACAATTTTTCGAAATTAAATGAATAGTTTCACTGAACAAATACATACTAAGATAATCAAGGAAGAAATAACTGTATGATTTGGTATAAACATTGAGAAAAGTGGGTTTCTTTTGGAAAATTCTGTAAGTGTAAAGGGGTTAAAAATGTCTTACAGTTTCAGACTACTCTTTTCTGAGAGATCATAGAAAGGATGCATTCTTCATAAATTCACGCCCACTTGGAAAATTAAACATGGTAAAATGTTAGTTCGAGTTCAGTAACTCCTAAACACTCTGTATTTATTTATTCTTGGTATATTTTTCCAAAGGATATTCTGGACCACTTAAGGAAATTCCTCCTGAAAAGTTCAACACCACGGCTGTCCCTAAGTACTATCAGTCACCCTGGGAACAGGCCATTAGCGATGATCCGGAGCTTTTAGAGGCTTTATACCCTAAATTTTTCAAGCCTGAAGGAAAAGTAGAACTGCCTGATTACAGGAGCTTTAACAGGTAATCCAATTATCCTGGTGACACTGTTGGCATGTAATACCAAGGATTTTATATCGTGGTATGGAGAACTGAATTCTCTGGTAGAAAAAGAAATTTTCTTTTAAGAATAGACTCAAGATAGCCATATAGGATAACTCCTAAGCCTAGGCAAGGACTGATTTTTGCAATATTACTAATATGGCAAGCCTTGTTTTTTTTAGTACAAAAATGAAGGAAATGATTCAGGAACTATCACAACATCAAGATTATCTGCTACATTATTAAATGTTTTTAAAAACGTTTTGATTAAAAATTTATTAAAAAGTTTTCTTTAATTAGTAATAATTTCTCATTCAAAAGCTGATATTAGTTTTTATGTGTTGATTCAAATGACAGCGCTATTCAAGAATTTCGGAAATAATTTACATATATGACTATGAGAATTAGTGTGTAACTCCAGGCTCCAGCTTACATTTTTTAAACCAGATTAAAGGTAATTTAAGGATTTGTGGCCCAAGACTCCAGTATATGTATAAACCAAAATGTATGCTACTAAAAATATTGGCAAATAATATCTGCATGATAATACTCACAATAGATACCTATTTCTCCCTGTTATCCAATTTTAATAATTTCCATGGATATTTTAGATATATTTTTAATGGTCTCATAATCCATTCTTTGATCATTTAATTTTCATTTTAGAGTAAAGTATTTTTAGTATGGGGCGCCTGGGTGACTGAGGCAGTTGAATGTCCAACTCTTGAGTTCGGCTCAGGTCATGATCTCAGGGTAATGAGATCCAGCCCCGTGTCAGGCTCGTGCTGAGCATGGAGCCTGCTTAAGATTCTCTCTCTCTCTACCTCTGCCCCTCCCTACCCCCCAACCCCCCCCACTCACACACACATTCTCTCAAATAAATAAATAAATAAATAATCTCCAGTATGCTGTTTGGCACCACAGAAAAGTATTCCTAATTTATAGGCTGCTTAATGACTATTCATTTGAAAATTAAATTAAGGAATAAGTCTTTGATTTACAAAAGAATACCACAAAGCCTGGATTTAAATAGTGATCTTCTTTAGTACTTTTAAAATTATTGTACTATTAGAATGTTACTTTTCACACAATACTATAGTGGGAGTATTAATATTATGTCTATTATTAGTAATAGATCTACTAGGATTTCACCTAATACTATTACTAATTAGTAATGCTAATAGTATTAGTACTACATCTATTGAATAAATGAGGTATACCACAGAATTTAAGGAGGGATTGAGGAATGTCTAGGAAAGGGGATTGGAGGGCCATTCTAATAACTTTTTTCCAAAATGACCATGTAGAAAATTATAAAAAGTTAAACACTAAGGGAAAATGGAAAATAATGGAATACTTGAGGCTTGTTTTTGAGATTAGAGCTTTAGAGATGCTATGTGACTTCTTGTGTATCTTGTGGCTTTCCTACCCCATGCCTGCCAAGAAGCTTGCTTCCAGTTTTACAATACACTCGTATATTTGGGTTGGCTATCAAGAGATGCTATTGTTTTAATAAATACCCAGTGAGTACTATTTCAGTGAGAGAGAGAAAAAGAGAAGTTAACCTGTTAATACTTTTCCTTTACTTGAGAAAATTTTATTTCTTTTTATATACACATCACTATATAATTAAAAACTTCAGAGCTTAACGTTAATATTACAGTCTATTCTTAGATTCTTTTTTATGAACATAGTTTGGTATAAGTCAATGTACATTTCATTATTATTTCAATGGGTACGAATGTCATTTCATACAGATATGCCAATATTTTAGCCATTGCACTGATTTTATGAGACAGTAAATAAGTACTGATCAATTTTTAAAGAAAATTTGAGTATGGTTGACACAAGATGTTACATGAGTTCCAGGTGTACAACATAGTGCTTCAGCCTCTCTATACATTAGGCAGTGCTCACAAGTGTAGCTACCATCTGTCACCATACAGCTCTATTATAATACTGTTGACTATATTCCCTATGCTGTACTTTTATTCACATGACATTCCTTCTATAACTAGAAGCCTGTATCTCCTGCTCTCCTTCACCCATTTTGCCCATGCTCCCAATTCCCCTCCCCACTGGCAACCATCAGTTTGTTCTCTGTATTCGTAAGTCTGATTCTGCTTTTTGTTTGTTTGTTCATTCATTTGTTTTGTTTTTTTAGATTCCACATATAAGTGAAATCATATGGTATTTTTCTCTGACTGATTTCACTTAGCATAAGTGAAATTCACTTTAGGTCCACCCATGTTGTCAAAAGATCTCATCCTTTTTTTATGGCTGAGTAGTATTATATTGTGTATATTCCAATGGAATATATACCACATCTTCTTTATCCATTCACCTACTGAGGGACACTTGGGCTGCTTCCATATCTTGGCTACTGTAAATAATGCTGCAATATTCTTAGATTCTTTATCATTGTTAAATAACAGATGAAAGAAAATATGATGATACACAGGCAATCCCAAACAGGGAGCTTTAAGAGTCTTTTTGCCCTTAAAGTATATGTACCTGGCTCCACAAAATTTGAGGCCTTGTCTGTTGCATACAATGCTCTAAAAGCCTACTTAACAAACAATTAAACAGTATAACCATATCTTTGCCTTGAATGCTTGCTAAATAAAGGAGAATATAAAAACTTACATAGGTAAGAAATGGAAATCCATTTCCAGCTACTAGTTTATATTAGAACAACTTCACAAAAATAACTAGAAAAGCTAGTTATTATAAAGTGTTTGAAAAGCTATCAAGGAAATAAGGACTTAAGGGCCAAGCTAGGCATGAGGTAAATTTAGAGATGTAAACACAACATTTGGTACCACTTTTCCCTGCTAAGGCATTTGCTGATTTATTGGCAACAACTAATAAGCAGAGAAAGTGAGTGAACTTTTCAACAATCTTGAATCTGGGAAGGCCAAAAATAGGAACACAGGGTCTGCTAGGAGGAGAGGCCCAAATATTCTAAACTTTTAGTTGGGATTGTTACAGGCTATACCACTGGAATAAAGGTAAACAAGTAATAGACCAGCTTTCATGAAAATAAATGCTGGTCCTAATCAACTATTTCCTAGGTTGGATAAAAATCACCTCTTTTATGTCAAACCGCCTGCCATGGCCAAAAGTAAATCATCTCTGAAAGAAAGAGAACACCATTCAGAGACTCAAATTATTTCTACAATTTTTTATACATAATGCTCATCAGTCAATTAAAAATTATGAAGCATACTATGAGACAAGACCAAATGACTAAAAATAAAGAGAAAAATAAAAAACAAAAGAGACACACAAAAGATCAAATTATTGGAATGTTGGCTACTCTAAAATAATTGTGAGAAATATGTTCAGGAAAATAGATAACAAGATGAAGAATTTCAGCAGATTGGAAATATTTTTAAAGAAAGAATCAAATGGAGGGGCACCTGGGTGCCTCAGTCAGTTAAGTGTCTGCCTTCAGCACAGGTCATGATCTCAGGGTCCTGGGATCAAGCCCCATGTCAGGCTCCCTGCTCAGTGGGGAGTCTGCTTCTCCCTCTCCCTCTGCCCCTTCCCCCTGCTCATGCTCTCTCTCTCTCTCAAATAAATAAATAAAACCCTTTTTTAAAAAAGAAGCAAGTGGAAATTGTACAAAAATGAAAAATATACAGATATAACTTGGAGATATCATAAGTTCAGTTCTAGACCACTGTAATGAAACAAATATCACAGTAAAGTGAGTCAAATGAAGTTTTTGGTTTCCCAATGCATATAAAAGTTATATTTACACTATACTGTAGAATATTAAGCATGCAATAGCGTTACGACTAAAACAACATATACTACCTTAATTAAAATATACTTTATTGATAAAAAATGCTAACCATCATCCGAGCTTTCAGAAAGTCATAATCACTGGTCATAGATAACAAGTTTAATAATTATGAAAAGTTTGTAATATTGTGAGAATTACGAAAATGTGACACAGAAACATGAAATGAACAAATGCTGTTGGAAAAATGGTGCCAATATACTTTCTCAACACAGGGTTGCCACAAACCTTCAATTTATTAAAATGCAACATCTGCAAAGCTCAGTAAAATGAAGCACAATAAAATGAGGTATGCATGTAATAACTGAAATTAAGAAGTCAAAAGATTAAGTGGTTGGATCCATATAAAATTTATAGAAAATACAAAGAACAGAGAAACATGTTAAAAATACCAAGGGAATGTAATCAGTAAAATTCAGTCTGTGGGAAACTCTACAGGAAATATGATCCAGTATTTTCGATAAATAAATGCAAGGAAGAGATTAAAGGAAAACTCCATAATGTAAAAAAGTTTTAAAAGATATTTTTAAAAGACAGGCAAAACTAAACCATAGTATTTGGAGATACAGAATTGGGTTATTAACATATAATGAAAGGTTTTTTTATATTTTATAAATTGGTATTTCCATAAAAGTCAAAATATTGACTACAGCTAGGGTCAGGAGATGGCTGGGATTGAGCAGGGACATGTTGAGGGCTTCTGGAGGAACTCTTTTTTTTTTTTTAAAGATCTTATTTATTTATTTGACAGAGAAAGAGACAGCGAGAGAAGGAACACAAGCAGGGGGAGTGGGAGAGGGAGAAGCAGGCTTCCCGCTGAGCAGGGAGCCCAATGCCGGGGGCTCGATCGGGGCTTGATCAAGGCTCCATCAGGGCTCAATCAGGGCTCAATCCCAGGACCCCGGGATCATGACCTGAGCTGAAGGCAGACGCTTAACGACTGAGCCACTCAGGCACCCTTTCTGGAGGAACTCTTAACATGTGTAGTAGTTACAAGGTTGTTCACTTTATAATAAGTTATTGTCCATTTTTATCAGGTTTTCTGTACTTCTGTTATATTTAATGATAAAAATGTTTTTAAAAATTAAATAAATAGATTTCATGGCAGATTACTCACAGCGGAAGAGAGGATTCATAAACTGATATGGAAAATGATCAAACTGGAGCAGAAAAA